AAATACAGGTGTACCATCGGCAGAGAGGGTCCTTGTACTCGCTAATCTCCTCACTCCAATAGGCGTTTCTATTGCATAGAACGCCTCGCTGAGGTCCACCTTAGCGAAAAAGCGGGCCTTATCCTCTGGGATAGATCTCAAGAGTTCCTGTGCGCTCGACTGATGCTGCTTTTGGTCAGTGGGCCGCACCGTCTTCACTCTGGAGGCACTGGCATTCGGCAGCCACATAAATTCCTCCTGGCAGACTGCCAACTCCATGTGGTTCACTGGCCTCATATCCAGTGTAACCCTATAGCGGGCCTTCAGCTCTGAGGGGTCCACAGGATACTCCCTAGGCTTGTCACCCGAGTGTTGGTACTTATCTACAAGTACCGGCTCGAGCTGTACCACAGCCTCCCCTACCGGGACCCTCTCCACTTTGCCTTCCTCTTCCATTTGGAGGAATCGATGATGCAGAATCTTCATATCAGTGTGACTCCGTGGCCTGGCCGCCTCCGAGTAAGGCATTATCCCCGCCCTCTCGATTTGAGGAATCCTTAATCTTAGCCTGGCCTGGCCAGTCGAGTCCTTCACGCTCTCGAAAGTATAATCCACATCTACTGTTGGCCCATCTTGAGGTTGCCGTAGAATTTTTGGCTCAATGGCCTCACACGCTATCATGGATATGACAGAACCAGCGCTCGGTATATGGCCATAGTGCTCAAAGTCGCCGTAACGGATCGCCGTTATAGACATATCCAGCGCCCTCATTCCCGGTCTACCGATGACCAGAGTATGTTGACAGGTATCCGAGATCAGACAGGAGAGCCATTTCGTATCACGACTCGAATCCTTCTTCGGCCGTATTGGTAGTCGGACAGCACTGGTGCAATTCGCCTTCTCTCCATTAGCATAGGTCACCAACACACCTTTGATACTGCATATTTCATCTTGAGATATAATGTTATGGCCAATAAGTAGCTCTATTAGAGTAGAGTGAACAAAGCATGCCCCCGCTCCCGTATCAACGAGGGCATCTACGTGGACGCACTTCGCCGTCCGGCCTGGCTGGGGTTTTTCCCCAACTCTCAGAATAATTTTTGGGGTGTTAAAGTCAACGAAGTCCTCTAACCTGTTCTTCTGACCATCTTGTAGCTGGACACCTTCGTTGCTAACCTCGAGGGTCAACGCCGAAGAGTCCACTGCTTCCCCTCTAGTCTTGCATTCCATCATCGGTTCACCCTCCTCCGATGCGTGAGCCTCCGATGCGTGAGCACTATCACAGCTGATCTTGTTTGTCGCCGGCTTGGATGGTGCCGTGGTAGGCCTCGAGCGTATTTTTGCCCAACAGACTGACGACAGGTGACCATTTCGACCGCATCGCTGGCATTTGCTGGTCCTATTCGGACAGTCTACCTTGCGGTGGTCGTAGGCACCGCATATCAGACAACGTCGCTCCTTGTCCTTGATAGTTGTAGACCAGCACTTATCCTCTGTATGCTCCTTTCCGCCACATCGACGGCATTTTCCCAGACCACGCGATAGATTCCCATCTTTATGGCCCTCCTTTTTCACCTCTGATCCCATAAGCTGGGTGCGCGGCGCCGGTCTTTGCGCTGTTGGCGAGGCCTTCCCATAGCTATTGATAATCGCAGACGTCTCAAAAGAGCGAGCATAGCCACATACCATATTGATATACTGAGTGAACGATAGATGTGTCAGAGGGTCCACCATTGCCCTTGCAGACTCGCCCGCCACTGACGTCAGCCCATTCCCAAACTTTTCCTTCTTGGCATCGGCTGTCAGGTCTTTTCGGCCGGAGCTCTCCTGAAAGATCACTGCTTCCTCAAAGCGCTGCGCATACTGTTTGACCGTCTCCCCATTATTCTGGCGGAGATTCTCCCAGTCATGTAGAGCACATCTTCTGGCCTCAGGGTTATCATACTTGTCATTCAATATTTTGATCAACGATTGGTAGCCCTCATCAGCATCCATCGTGTAAATCTTCGCTATGCCGGCCTCCCATCTGGCATATTTAAGAGCAGCCCCTCTCAGACTTAAGAATACGAACTCTATTTTGGCCGCCGCCGATACAAACGGGGTGCAACGTAAAGCACTCTGTAGGTTGTCTATAAATGATATAAACTTGCCGTTATCGCCGTCGAACGTCCCGACACCACAGGACTCCGTCAACTGCTTTGCTCGTTGAGTGGCTCGATAGTAAGTGGTGTCCTACGTGACGCTGTTGATGGGTTTCTGGGTGTTCTGTGAGCTCGCTTCGGTCTTAACGGAACCAGGGCTGCTATTCAACGGCTTCTTCTCGGCTGCTGTATCCATAACATCCCTATACACCGCCACGGCCCCTTGGACCTTGGCGTTCAACTGGCGTCGTCCGGCGAGAGAATGCCCTCCCTCCGTCTTCGTGCCAGCATCCACCACTGCCCACATCAATGTCGAACGTAACCATCCTCCTGTGCTCTCTTCTCCGGCCGCCATTACTGATTCAGGATATGGATACAGTAGCTCATCATAGACCCAAACCAGCCCAGGTAACCAAGCCTCGGCCAGAGCGGTTCCCTCAGGACCTTCCCCAATGTCAGCCTTAAAGGCTTCATTTTGGGTGAGCACCGTTTCGATGGAACGGGCGATATCCTCCAACTTGCCTATAGATAGGTATATCCCTTCGTCTCATTTATGGCCTTCTCCATAGCTCTCACAGCAGATATTAGGCGACTTCTCGGCACAGCCCCCAAGTTTGATAACACAGATCGCCTAGTATTATTGCTTTCTTCAGAATCCAACAATGGCATATCTTACTGATACGGTATTCGTATGATAGTGGATCAAAACCATATAGAGACAACTGCGTCTCCACTACTTTCGATGATCGAAATTCGATCAATCCACATTATGTGGACCACATAGCTAATGAGGCGAGCGCCACACCTACTGCGCGGCATCTCAAAAAGCCTCTATACTCTAATACTGGAACTGGTAGTTTATATACACTTAATATCAAGAACTCTTCGATCCATCATCAATGATGATGATGATTCATCATCCTCTCTCATCTATAGCTTCCGATCTTCTACAATGTTTCAGAACTTGACAGGACCGGCGTGCCACAACTCCCAATGGTTCTCCCACGTCTTCTTGAACTTCCCGAATCCAACAAAGGCATTAAAGTTGACGTTGGATGCGAACTCCCATTGGTTTGCGATATGTTCAACAGTGTTGCCCTTGATGTCGAGAGACACACCAGCTCCGGCAACCTTGAGGGAAACGCTCGTACCGATCATCCCGTACGCAGATATCTCATTATGAG